ATTGCACTCCAGCCTGGGCAACAGAGCGAAACTCCGTCTCAAAAAAAAAAAAATTTTTTTTAATTAGCCGGGTGTGGTGAAACACACGTGTGGTCCCAGCTACTCAGGAAGCTGGGGTGGGAGGATCACCTAAGCCTAAGAGATTGAGGTTGCAGTGAGCTGTGATTGTGCCAGTACACTCCAGCCTGGACAACAGAGTGAGACCCTGTCTCACAACGAGAAAAAAAAAAAAAGAAAGAAAGAAAGAAAAGGAAATCAGTACAGATTAACTTGACATTTTGACATTTATATTACATGTATAAAAATAAGTGTTTTAATTAAGGGAGAGTTCATTATTCCACTACCATCTAATACAATAACAACATTATACAGTTTCATTAAGTCCCAAGGTGCTTTATTTAGACTCAAAAATGTCCTGCCATAAAAGTGTTACAGGTTAAAAAAAAAAAAAAAAAGTATTACAGCGCTGAACTCCCCTTTTCAGAGTGGGTAATTGAATACCTGAAGGTTGACAGAGATCTTGAAGTTTATTAAACTTAGAGACCCTGTCTTAGAGGGAGTCATAGCTTAAGACTTCATCAACATTGGAGGAGTCTAATGAACTCGAGCTTCCAGCCAGGCACTCTTGTCCCTCTGATGCAGGGCAGGTGACCCCCCCAAATTGGGACTTCCCCCGGAGAGTGCTTTGTCCAGGAAAGAATTCAAGTGTGAGCCAGTGGTAGAAGAGAACAGCCTTATTGAAGTGGCAGTGTTACAGCTCTGTGACTGCCCCTGGAGAGCAGGGCTACCCCACAGGCAGTGCGCTGAGAATAGCAGCTCAGGGCAGTTCTACAGGCATAATTACACCCACTTTTAATTGCATGCAGATTAAGGGGAAGTTTATGCAGAAATTTCTAGGAAAGGGGTAGTAACTTCTAGGTCAGAAGGTCATTACCATGGAATGGGGTGGCAATGCCCAGGTGTTGCCATGGCAATGGTAAACTGACATGGCACACTGTTGAGCATGTCTTACAGAAAGCTGCTTCCGCCCCATCCCTGTTTTAGCTAGTCCTCAATTTGGTCCGGTGTCCAAATCCTGATTCCAGAGTCACATATCACCTCCTACCTCACCTCTGAGCAGTATGTTTGGAGGGTGTCTGTCAGAAGACCCTCAAAACCACCAGTTGCTTCTGCTTTGATGCGAGACACATATCCCAGCTGTGGCCAAGTTTGCTTGCCTGGGTCTGGAGTGACACATCTTTCCCTGTCAGCGTGTGACAATCCCGGTGTGGGTTGAGTGTTCTTGAAAGGTGTCCCAGAATGTCAAAAAGGCAAGGCTTCTTCCACTTGCTATGTCTTCGGTTCTCAGAAACAACAGAGGCAAAAGAAATATTTAAAATTTCTATTTAAAAAGTAATACACTTGGAAAGATACCATCAGGAAAGTGGAATGACAACCCACAGACTAGAAGAAAATATTCGCAAATCATATGTCTGATAAGGGAATTACATCCAGAATATGTAGAGAACTTTTACAACCCAACAACAATACAGTGAGTAAAGGATTTAAATCGGCCAGGCGCGGTGGCTCACACCTGTAATCCCAGCACTTTGGGAGGCTGAGGTGGGTGAATCACCTGAGGTCAGGAGTTCAAGACCAGCCTGGCCAATATGGCAAAACCTCGTCTCTACTAAAAATACAAAAATTAGCCTGGCGTGGTGGCAGGCACCTGTAGTCCCAGCTACTCGAGAGGCTGAGGCAGGAGAATTGCCCTGAACCTGTGAGGCAGAGGTTGCAGCGAACTGAGATTATGCCACTACACTCCAGCCTGGGCAACAGAGCGAGACTCTGACAGAGGGAGACTCCGTCTCAAAAAAAAACAGGATTTGAATTGATCATTCTCCAAAGAAGATATTACAAATGGACAACATGCACATGATAATGCTCAATATCATTAGTCATTAAAGAAACGCAAAACACCAGCCGGACGCGATGGCTCACACCTGTAATCCCAGCACTTTAGGAGGCCAAGGCAGGTGGATCACAAGGTCAGGAGT